ACGTCGCGTTTCTCCTCTACTTTAATTAGCCCCGCCCGCTGGTAAACAATAAGCCGCTATTTCTGACAAATTAATTCGAAAAACAATTCCCGGTCTGTCGGCCGCCGTCTGCGCGACGACGCGGCCGCCGTCGCCGCCGGCTTTTATCCCGCTGGGGATGCGCGTCTCAAAACGTAACGAGCATCCCTTTCATGTAATACTACACCGTGCGTCCCCCTCCCCCCCCTCCCCGCGCTTCGCCGGAATTCCTTCCTGGGAGTCGGCCGCGTTAAGCTCCCCCAGGATTCCTCGCGAGCCGCTGTTCTCCGCAAGAAAATCAGACGTTCGCCGATACAGCGGAAACGCAGCGCGACGATCAACGATCTCGTCGTGAATTATCGAGTCGAACAATCCTCATCGGATTTATATATATATATATATACGTTCCGGGGAGCAAAATGTCACGGTTTACTCGTAATTGGAAGTATACCCGTGAGCGGAAAATAAGGAACGCGGCTTTTCGCGGAGAAATGGCATTTAAAATGTCCGAAGTTGAGCAAATCTGCAATATTTCTCCGCTTGATGCTGATATCTATCGTTGCTGCACGAAGAAGAAACTTTTCGGCATTTGTCGCTATAATCGCAGAATCGCAGTCAGAAGAAGCATTTCTTTTAGCAAACGTTACTGCACAAGTGTCAACATATATCGACAAGATGAATGTATTAATTGTACATCATATCTGTATACTTTTCCACACATTTCCCGTGGCAAAGATTATATATTCTCGCTTATATACGAGGAAAGACGAGTCTCGAATTGAAACTAATTTCCTTTCCACGTAACTAGCAGCAACGTTAGACGCAAATTTATTACTTCATGGCTCGACACCGGCTAGGTTCAACTTTCACCGGGATGTTGACGCGTGTGCGTCGGAAGATATCGCTATGAGAAATCTGACGTCGTATCTTCAGTTTATTCAGAATCGGGGGGAATTCATCGAAATTCCTCCCGATCTTCGGATTGATCCCGCGATCACGCTGCCGCCGTAACTTTTCGCGAAAGAAGTTCTGCTCCCTCCCCCCCCCCCGAGTTTGCAAAGACGCTTCCGAAGTTCGACGCGCGGCGCATGAAACATCCCGTATAACTCGATCATAATTAAGCGTCGCGGGGAAATTTGCTCATCGTCGTATCGCGTCACCGTTGAACGCGGCTCCCGCACCGCCGGGGAAACACGGACAGTTGCGCGCTCAGACCGGCCAAATCGCTTTGTCGCCGCCGCGTGATCCCCGCCGTTATCCCCCGCGCAAATATTTAAGCGTTCCGCGTTCGCACACCCTGGAGATTACACGACGAGCTCTCGGGTTCGTTTCGTCCGACTTCATCTTCATCAACATACTGATCAAACCAGCCCATGTTCCGCTCAAACTTGGCACAAAAGGCGGGACAATTAAACGCCGTCTCTCTCCGCAATTCGCCGCGTACAACAAGATTGAAAATCAAGTTAACCGGCGAATAACACCGGCAATCCGAGAGCTTGGTCGAAATTCGCGCGTTACTTCGCAACCCTCGCCACGTCCCACGGTGACGTAGTGATAATTTCAAACGGAACGCCGCGGATATTTCGCGTTGAGAACTCCGAAAAATTTTCTCCGAATGTGGCGTTCCCGCAAACGAGAACTTTCGCGGGAAGAGCGTCCAACTTCTTTAACTGGCTCTATAATTTTGCAAATAATTATTTGTTTACTTATTGCTTGTTGATTTTTTCTTGAGAAAACTCGGCATATATTTGGCCGTGTTATTAGCATCAGTTCGATTTTTCCATGTGCCGAATTTGTTCTCGAGCTGTCCTTCTTGCGAATTGTTAAGTAGAGAATCAGCGGTAATTTATTAAATGATATAAAAATTTATGGTGTAAGCCGCGAACTTTTTCAACCGCTTTGAATCTTGCACCAATTTTTATCCTCCGCCACTGAACCACGCAAGAATAGTCCGAGTTAGGTCGCTTTGAAAACCGACATACCTAAGTTTACAGAGCTTTTGACCGACATACCTGAACTTTACCGTGAAATATCATCTCACAGAACACAGTTGAAACTACCGGTAACTGATTTTCCCATGATTCTCTTGTTTCTATTAGACGGCCGGAAAGAAAAAGTCAGGGGATCTCCGTCCATACAACAAAAGGTATGTAAAATCAAAAGTAACGCATAAAGGATGCGTATGTAACAAATATACAAAATAATCTAACAAACTTTAGTGCTTTCATTTTAGTTTCCGACAACTTCTCAGGTGGATATGACGGGTACGATTTCGTGGTCTACTTTCTCGACGCATCGTTTCTCCAACTTCTTAAAAATCAGTCATCTGCGAGACAATGTATAAGAATCTTCAAAGGAATACAACATGCCTTGGCAAAGAAACGCTGCCGTCTCGCGTCCATGCGCATAACATTTTCATTCTACGCCTTTGGCAGGATTTTACAGATTTGAAAAACAAAATGGCACGCCGGTGTTGTCTCAATGCTTCTCCTCCTCCACGAAACGTTACAAGGCGCAGTATTCAGTCGGGTCGTTGATTGTGATGCGACGGAACCTCCCGTGTGTCATGTCGCTAAATATGCCGGCTTGTAGGGATGGATTCTGCGCTAGATAAACTGCCTAGGGACATCCGAGATGCAGCTGCAGCACCGGGGGGTACATCGGTACAAGTCTGCCGACGTGCGCGCGATTGAAAGTCGAGAGATCTCTCGAATAGCCCGGTTCGCTCCGCCCAATCTCTATCTTCGCCATCTCGATTCGCGTTCGAGGGCGTTTGGCGAACTTCGGGCCGCTTCCGAGGGCTTCCGTTGCGGATATCCAGTTTGATAGTTTAAACCGGATATTCGACGCCCGTTCCTCCGTTCCCTCCCCTCCCTCCCGCCCTCTNCTCTCTCTCTATCACACACTCTCACTGGCTCGTCGACTGGCGTTGCCGGCGAACGCGGGATGGAAACGGCGGAGGGGTTGTAGTCTCGAAGTGGAAACGGCACCCCGGCGGCTTATAGTCGCGCGAGACGCTCATCTGCATTTCAAATCGCGCGGCCGCACGAAGATTTGTACGGGCGCGCTTTTCCGCGAGTGCGGAAACCGAACGCGTGCAGAATCGTCCCTCGGAAACGAGCGATCGAGCGATCGCGCGCGGAAATCGAAGGTATCGAACGAACGTGTCGCCGTTATCGTCCGGCGATTGCCACCTGCGAATTTAAGCCACGATCGCACCGTGATTTGCAGACGGGCTGCCTTTTACTCAGCGATAATAACGCCTAAAAACCTCGCATGCGTATTGCCAGTGTTACTTATTGAAACGAAAAGCAGGAAGATACAGTCGAGGCCGCAAATGATCGTTCTCATCGAGTCTCTCTCTCGATGTAACTCATCATCTGCGGTAAAACGGATCCGCATACCTCAGTTTTATCGTGCGTGAACCTCGTCATCGCGTTCCCGGCCGATATCCCGACGGTTACCTTATTCTCCGCTCGCCAATTTCTCGCGCCGCAAAAATCCACTCTGCGCCCATCCGCGGACAAGGTGGGTCTTTAATGCACCGTTTGGCGGAAGAGAGGAAACTCCCGACCGACGTTATTCTCGGCGCGCATCCGCAACGTATATTTCCATCCCCTTTCACCTCCCTTTACCTCCGGACGGGTCAACGCGAAAGGGCTGTATGTATTCTCTCTCTCTCTCTCTCTCTCTTTCGCGTATATCAAAGGCGCGTCACTCGTGCATGCGTGATTATTTTCGTCCGCATACACGCAACGGCAGGATAGCGTGCACACAAGACGGAAATTCCGGTGAATAGCCGCGGGGCTACCCCCGCGCGTTCTTATCCACGAAGGAATTGAACGGCCGCGGATTTACGGCGGGCGGGGGGGATGTCGCGCGAACGAAACGAGCGGAAGTCGACCGTACTGTCCGAATCGGACGGACGGCCAGACAAAGGTCTACCATGACTTCTCTCTCTCTCTCTCTCTCTCTCTCTTCTGTCCAGATTAAACTACGCGGAAATCCTCTCCTATCGAGAAACAGACGCCATTAGCCAGAAACGAGAATGTATTCGCTCTACGCGTCGGACGCGTTTGATGAATTCGCGTGGAAAAGCGGGCGACTTCACTCCCGCTCGCTGACCGTGGAAAGTCGGCTTTCAGATCCGCTTAATCCGCCGATTTTGACCAACTAATTCCTAATTCGTCGAGTTCCCGTCCCCCACCCCTTCCAGATCAGAGATTTTCGAAAAGGCAGGAGACATTCGTCCGGCGGATGCCTCCTCATCAGGCGCAGTTTCGAGCGCATTCGCGGTGACCCGCGATTCCCGCTCTCTCTCTCTCTCTCTCTCTCGGAAATGCGATTGGCGCATCGTCATTGAAAAGCAGCTAATAGCCATCGGTGATAATAGTTACAAATATAGCTGAAGAAGTCTGAGCGGTTGGCTTGTAAATTAATTTTTTCGAGAAAATCTCAAGTTTTAACACGTACATGTGTGTACCTGTGAAGCATAAATACTTGAAATGTTTGTCTATTTCGTTCAACCGTAAAGTGGAAACTGGAAAAATCTCCGGGGAAATATGGGAAGTGACCAAACGGGATCTGTTTGTTTCCCAATCAGATGAATTATTTAGAATCGCACGTTTGAAATATTACACTTTTAGCCAGAAACTCTATAGATTTTCCGGCAAGAATTCATAATTATCCTGGAGAATCGAGCTGAATCCTAATTGAATCCGAAGTCTCGCCGTTGTTTCGCCGACTCGGCCGGCGACATTTTCGATTGATTCAACTTAACGGGAGCGATCCTTCGTTATTTCACGTAAAAAACAGCGCGAAATATATCGCGCGCGAGAGTGGAAAGTTAAACGTCCGGATGAAAAATGTCCATGCGGATTCCAGCGGCGGCGCTGTGATGGAAGCGATCGGCTGGGGAAATTCATGGTCGGGTATTTTCCGAAACTTTGTCGCTCGGGGCTGCGATATCGATGGGAGCTTACCTTGCCGACCCCGGTGAGCTCCTTTACGCCTATCCTCCTGAGAAGGGCGGGAGGTGCCGGAGGTGGTGACTTGAGAAGGAGCGCGGCGTATCCATTGGGAAAAATGGGCAGCTCGTCAGGCCCGATGTTCTCGTCCCCGGAACGTCGTCTCCGATGCGGGCTCGACGATAGATTCAGTTTCTGCGCTGCCCTGCAACACGAAACGTTCCCGTTTAATGCATCGTCGTGTATCACATCGCGTGTTAGAGAATCTCCGATACGACTGACGCAATATCGAACGATTGACACGCTGAGAAAAAAGCAATAGGATCAACGAGAATTTGCTTAATCGAGGAAAATTTCTTCAAGCACAACGTTCGGTCCACCGGACAAATTATACAATTGCTGTAATGAGTCATCAATTGTTTCAACGATTGCGACTTGGTCAGCAACTATAAACCCAACGTATTGTTGCGCTGACGCCTGATTGTCCGGTGGACACGATATTCTGCTTGAATGAGGGACGACGATTTTGCCGATCCAATTGTTTTCTTTCTCAGTGCGGTTGGTAACAACAATCAAATAACACGCTTGTTTCTCATTTATTAAGTTGCGTAATAATTCTAAACTTTTCAGATAACCCGAAACGTTTGTGCTTTCGCGTCGTTATAATTTTGTTAAGCAATGTATTTAAAACACTTTGATCTACAACCTTCTGCTACATTTCACACGCACGTTTCATAAAATTACAACAACACAAAAATACAAAATTGTTGTATTTTATCCGAGAAATCCGACATTATTTATTACGCGATCTACATTGAGAGGGGAAATAAAATCTAAAAAAAAAAGAATATTTATCCGCTGGTGCCAACAACATATTCGATTAAACCTCTGTAAATTTGTTTTATTTGAATATAATCGAGTAAATACTGACGATTTCTCAGATACTCTTTCAGGAGACTCGTGAAAGCATATCCTTCCTCTCTCACCGGCCGTCCCGTTGTCTCACGACGATACGGAAACATGGTGCGTTACGAACCCGGGTTCGGAGAAGGGCTACGATGTGCGAATGTATCGAGCGACCGTGGCGGAAACAAACACGGGAGCACCTCGGGCAACCGTCGGGGACTCGTCTCGACTTTCACGGGCGATACCTGCGAGGAAGGGTCGCCGTTTTCCGGAAGGTATGTGTCTCAGAGGCGACTGGGTGACATAGTCATCCGCGGGGGCGGGCCCGGTAATCAGCGAAGGTAATGTGCCGGAACCTTCGGCGCGCGTATACGCGAGGTATCCGCGTTTAAAGGGGTGCACCGCCGCGAACGGCGGGAGAGGGGTGACCCGCCGTCAGTTTTTCGCGGGGAGGCAAGTTACGGAGGGTGGTTCCCCTAACTTCTCTCCACCCCTCGGGGCTCGTTAACCCACGCTCTGTGAAATTGGAAATACCAGCGACCTCTCGCGCACTCGTTCGCCCCGGAGGCCGCCGGTCCCGGCCACGCTCTGCGGTGCACGGCTCTCCGGTGTGGGTTCGAGTGTCATAAAAAATGGAAGGCGCGGGGAATGCGGCAGAATGCGGCCTCTCTCTCTCTCTCTCTCTCCCTCTCTTTTGTCGCCGCGAGATGCAATCGTTTTGCGTCAGTCGCGTCGTCTAGCATCGCCTAGCGTTGCGCGCCGCGTCCATCAGGTGAATCACGCCGTTCGCTGCTCTTTCGCTCTCCCGCGCGAGAACAGGTGCGAGCGAACGACGCGTGAAACGACTTACGAGGATTGCGATGTGTCGGTCGACGATTTCTTTAATAGATTTCGGAGCGAGTCGAAGGTAGATAGAGAGAGGGAGGGAGGGGGAAAGAGGGAGAGGGAGAAGGTGACTTTGTCACACCTGCGGACTTGCTCCTTGAAACACACCGTGAAATAATGGGGTGATTTTCGAATGGACGACCATAGTTTTTGGGACAGATGGCTGAGATAAAAAAGCCGCCACGGCGTTCTCGGCCGGGCATTGATTCTCAAACCTCTCACTTGGGGAGAAGAAAAGGCCTTCTGCAGGAATCCGAGACATCACGATGGTTCCTGTTTTTGCGAGAAATTAAAAATCAATGGAATTCCACGCGTCAGCCGAGTCGAAATCTTAGCTTTACGTTGAACCTTCAAGGGAGTAATCTAGTCTGAAGCGCGAGAAAATGACAGGTTTTTTTTCCTTAAATCAGTGATAGAACCTCAATCTTCCCGCACACGTTGGCAGAATGCTGGGAATTGTACATACGACAACGGACAATATTCCAGCAGATACAGCGGTAAACAGCGGACACATTTCACTAGTGACGTTTAGAATTCCAGCCTGGACCGGCAAAATATTTCTCTGAGTGCACGGTCGCATAGAAACTGTCGGTATATATACTTAGGATTTTCGAGATTGCCGCGAGTACGACCGCGATAACAAAGGGAGATTAATTCCCGAACGAAATAGAAGTTGAAACGAATTATACCGGACAGGTGAAAAACGCGACGTCGCGCGCGGGGAAGGAACGCTCGAAAGTTAATTATGAAACCAGTTAAAAATCGTCAATCCCCCGTATCTCAAGCGCCGGCGGAGCCGTGTAAACCTTTAAGGCAATTAGAGCCCCGGCAAATATCGCGCAAAAGCTTTCGCCTGTTTTTTTGCCCGGGCGCAACGACGCCGAATTCGCGTAACGCGCGCGGCTCGTCGCAGCCACGTAACATCCATCGACAAGCGGGATGTTTTGCCGGCCGTTCAAAAGGATTGTTTTCGCGCACTATCAACGCTGTTGCGCGCAATAAACGGCAGCGACAGCAGAGGGAAAAAGCGGCCGGCTGCGGGGAAGATCCACGAGGTCGTCGCGGCCGTCGTGCCGTTTTAACGAGCACCGACTGCCTCTCTGCTGGAGATCGTCGCTCTGCCCTCCGGAACTTTATGCACTTTTTCTGCATCGGTCGGGCACAGCCTCGCGGAACTGCGGCCGGCCGAGTTTTACGCTCGGTTTCATTATTTACAGCTCCTCTTTTCCGCGAGACTAAGGACGAGACACGGCGGCGAGGAGTTCATGGAGCGGAACTTTGACGAACGAAATTACGCCCGAATTTCGCGGCCACTTTCGCAGTACGCGCCACCACCACCGCCGACGGTGTGAGAACAATGCAGATTTCTTCTTCGCGGGGCGAGAAGCAAAGCGGGAGAAAGGGGGGAGGGAACATTGTCGGTGCATCTACTCGGATAGAAAATAACCGCCGGCGAGCTACTGGTGTCTCAGTACTGATATTTAATTATCGATGCCAGGTACCAATTTCGTATTTCAGTGCGAAAGCGGCGCCTTGCCGGCCTCCGGTGCTGGCCGAACATCATCTCTGCAACCCCGGGTGCCGTCGTTTATTCGTAGGCACGATAATACCGGGCGTCCCGGGCGTGTTTATCTCGAACGTCGCGGAGTAAGTGTGCGAAAAATCATACCAAATATTACCGGCACATTCTTCAGACGAGACGTGGCGCGCGTAATAAAACATGACTCATCCCACCGAGATATCCCTGTAATTAACGCAGTCGCAATTAAGCAGTCTGCCTCATTAGCGGCACAGTGGTAGTCTCTCTCTCTCTCTCTCTCTCTCTCTCTCTCTCTCTCTCTCTCTCTCTCTCTCTCGGACGAATTGCATTATCTCGGCGTTACGTGACGGTGCTGGAAAAATTCACCGCGGCGCAACGTGAAAAACAAAAGTAGCTGAATGTTTGATAACTCGCGTGTCACTGGAGCAGTCACGGTATTATCGCGTTAAGGCACTTAACAAATGCGAGAGGTATTTAACGTTACATGGATGTGCACGTGCGCGAAGTGACCGAGCAGAAATGCACACTGGGTGTCCGAAACTTGTCTTTCAGTCGCTCGTGCGAAAGCGGAACGGGTTAAACCGAGCGGAAGGGTTCCTCCGCAATTTCGCGAACAACCGCGCAGAACTTCGAGTTACTCGTTGAAAATGCCCTTGTATAGAGGGCTTTTTTTAATTAATAATTCAAAAATTCACCGTGTTATCTGTGAAATAAAGTAATAGGCTGTTTTGTTCAGAGCGGCCTAACGAGGGGGGGGNGGGGGAGGGTGAGCGTGAAAATTACCGGCCGGCAGCGACGTCGGACACAAATTTTACCGCCTCGCTGCCGGACGCGCGCGAGTCTCAATTTATCCGCTCGGCCGGTGCATTTTTCCACGATCGTATTGCCGCGACGTGCTCTTAATATCGCGAAATGAAAATATCGCGAGGCCACGTTGGCTAATAAAGCGCGTGAGCGGAATGAAAAACACGTGAATATCCGACAGACTTTCAGCCACTTCGCGATAACGAGACGATTCGAGGAGTTGAAAAACGCGGAAATCAGCGGAATTAATTTCGCACGAGTTCTCTCACCCGCGCAAAACCGCCGGCCCGATGTTGGCTCGCGCGTTATTATTATATTTGATATTGCGCGATCGCGCGAGGTAAAAATATACCACGTTCAAACGCGAGCCGTCGGCGAAACCGTCGTGGTAAATCACAAGAAACTCGGCTGGCCGGCCCGAAAGTAATGTATCTTCCGCCTCGCGATATGTGCGAGAAACCTTAGGAGAATCTGAAAGAGGAACGCGAAAGGACACGCGCGGCAGACGCAGGTGCGTGTCGCAGAGGCGCAATCTATTTCATCAATCAGGAAGGAACAGATGCGTGGTGCGCCGGGTCTCATACATGTATTCAAAACCTCCAATGAAATATCGCCGAAATCCCCGTGTACCCTCCCGCCGCCCCCTTCATTGACGTTTAATATCTTAAAAGCGGCCACGAAACGCGCGGAATATTCAATATTCGTCTTTAATATTCACCGAGTTTCTAGCGTTTCCATACCGCTCCCTATTTATACTTAACAATCCATTTGTCCAGCTGCACCCGGGACGCGCGGATCTCGCCAAAATGACTAATTCCGAGCGTGCTCGTCGATGCACGCCCGACCGAGGTTTCGCCGTGACGTATTATTAAACATTCGTCATTCGCCGGCGCGCTTCACGATTTGTCGCGTCCGACGCAATCGTAAATTTTTTCCCAGCGCGCGTTTTTCACCGTAAATAAAAGTATCGCCCACAAAAGGGGGGTTCGAGGGAGGGGGTCCCCGCCGCGCCTCGTAATTCGCGCGGAAATTACACGCTTAATTTGCGATGTTATTTACGAGCGAACGGA